TGCTGATGAGCTGAAACATTATAAGATGCTCCCTTGGCAAAGTGATCATCTTCTGGGTTTTGAAATACAACTAGCTGTGCATGACTGCTTGGATTAACTCACAGCTTTTTGTCACCTGCTATTGCCTCTGGCATTATAGTAGGATTCAAGACAGTTTTTTTTCCTTCAAATTAAGAACCAACCCAAGGGCTGGGGATATAGCTCAGTTGGTAGAGTGCTTGCCTCCCATGTACAAGGCCCTGGTTCAATCCCCAGCACCACCACCAAAAAAAAAAAAAATCTTACCATTTTGGCCTAGGGTTGTGGCTCAGAGGTAGAGCACTCACCTAGCATGCATGAGGCACTGGGTTCGATCCTCAGCACCACATATAAAATAAAACAAAGATTTGTGTCCACCTATAACTAATAAATAAATAAATAAATAAATAAATAAATAAATAAATAAATAAATATAAAGAACCAACCCAAATTCTGGTATGGTAAACAGGAAGGTCTACTGAGGCCCACAATGTGCAAAACAAGTCCACAGCACCACACTACAACCTCCAGTCATATGAAGTTCCAGAATTCATAAGTTTCCAAAGTTGATCTACCAAGGCTTCATTGCATAAGGCAGACTCCATGTTTTTTTGTAAATGGTGGATTCTTAGTCAACATATTATTATGGGCTGATTTGAAAGTTAAATCAGGTTGATCCCACTCTGTTCAGACCTCTCAACCTGTGCAGAACTCTTTCTGCATGAGCCCACTCACATAGAAGCTCACATCTCCACCCTTACCCACTTGCACTCTGACCATAGTATCTTTAAACTGTGGAGCTGGTGCTAGCTTACATCCTGAGTAGGTACAGGAAGTGCCAATTCTGAGAACGTGGTGGCACTGTAAGAAGTGTGTTTTATGATTGTACTTGCCTCTCTCGGCCCCCCTACTTTTCGTTTTTTTTTTTTTCTGTTTTTAAGTGACCCTTGTCTGCATTCAGCAGCTTGGGCTGCAAAATTGTCTGCTTTCTGCTCACTTGGCCCTTGCCATTATAAATCCTTTGTCTTTGCTTCAAAAAGACCCAGAATTTTAGTTGAGATTTTGGAATAGTGCCTTAACAATGTTTAGAATCTTATGCCTCACATAGGGTTCAAAGTCATTCTGAATCATATTAAAAAGCCACTACAGTTCTTCATAACTGCTGCCCACTTTAGTAAAATCAACATCTTCCTAAGCTGCTATCCTGATGTCCACAAAGTGACTGTGTTCAGTATAAGATTTCAAAAGAGCTGGATCACTTGGTACATGTCCATTCTTTTGAAGTACCTGTGTGGCTCTCAAACAACTGGCAGTGATGGTGTGTCTATAACTTGGAAGAAGATTTTTTTGTATACAAAAACCTGATGATTTCTTCAAGAATCAGTTGCATATCAGGATTTAAGTTATCCAGCATTCTAACTTCATTATTCACTTTGACTGTAGATGTAAAAGAGTTGGCCAGGGCATCAATTATTTGTGCACAATAGTAGTTAAATTAAAAATTATTTTCCTGTTGTCATTCTACTTGATTAAATCTAAAATAAATGTTAAGACTTCTCTGGAACAGAGGTTATGAACATATCTTAATAAAGCCATTGCAACTGGCACAGTCTTTTGTAGAAAATAAAATTAAAATATCATGAAGTTGGTTGTTTTTACAATATCTGGACAATTTTTACAACAAAACATTCTAGTAAAGAGTGACTTTATGGTCCTTGGTTCTGTCCATGTGCTCACTGTTCAATTTCCAGTCTTTGCAAGGCAGGAGCAAGCTGACATTCTTACTCAGTAGAAACACTGCCCTTATTCTAATGTGTCAGTGAAAATAAGATGCTAGAATAGGAAAAGTGAGATGCTGGAGTAGAGAATTTTTCCAAAGTCAAGATGAATTCCTACTGTGCAACAACATTGTCCTCATAGTGGAGTTGATATTTCTACACATCCTCATCTTGCTCAAATTCTTCCTTTTTCAATATGACATATCTGGGTCTATCCTTATCCACAACAAAGGGGAATCAGCATTCATTGCAGAAAGATCTATGTCAACTTCTTCTTCATTCATCATTGGGATTTTTTCTTATTATTCCTTCTGCTTTTGGAATGGCAGAGTATATCATGTTTAAAGTTGTTTTCTTCAATTTGCAATGTATGATTGAAACATCCATCTAATTCTTGTACTATCACTTTAAGTGGTACCATATTTTTCTGAGTTCTAGATGTATAATTTTATTTCCAACTCTAAGACATTTCATTTTTTATTAAATACAAAAGTTCCATAAAATTTTCCCATTCTACTTTGGTCTACCCACTGTTGTATTAAAAGCTAGATATATTTGGCAGAGACATTTGTAATGGTTTTCAAAAACCCTGATGTGGAAATGAACATTTGACTCCACATGTGTGACTGGAAATTCTGAGATGAAGTTTCTTTCTTTCTTTCTTTCTTTCTTTCTTTCTTTCTTTCTTTCTTTCTTTCTTTCTTTCTTTCTTTCTTCCATGCTTATCAATTTATTAAAAACTTGTAGCATAAATTCCATGCTGATTATATTTTCAATCAATCTCATCACAAGGTGGGCTTTACACTGAAACATACTATTATTAGTAGTATTCCCTGGAGAGTGTATGTGGACACTTTATTAAAAAGTGTAGGCAGGATGCTGGATTATCCTTCTCTTTTCCTCCACCAGTGGATGTAGTAAAATTCCCCCAGTTTTCAGTACCTATGCCACTATTTTATCTAGCTCCTCTTTAACCCAATGGTAGTATGCATTAACAACAAAAGTTTTCTTTTTCATCCAATGTTCATAAATATAGCCTGAAATTCCCTTCAGCTCCATTCCTCAGATTAAGACATTCTGGATATGAAACATCCAAAAAACTGCTGGGCCAAAGACTGGCTAAACACCTTCTAGTCAAAGGTGTGTCATCTATAATCATGGCACTGTATAGAAGATTTGTGCTAATAACACTCATGGAAGCATAAGTAGCCACTTCAACATAAGCCTTGTCAATGAATACAGTTTTAAAACAGGAGTATGAATATACACATGTAATAATTTTTTCATAAAATTCAAAGAGTTCATAAAGGAATGACATGGTATATTTAAGCAATGGAAGAAATTGGGGTAAACAAAAAGGAGTAACCTTATGTATATAGAGATCTATGAGTATTTCCAATGGGCAAGGAGATGTTTGATGCTGCCGTAGGGATTGTAAGCATAATAGAATATCTTCCTCATATCATGGGTATATACTGTCTCTCCTAAATCTCCATTGGAAATGGCCACTATAGCAGCATCTACTGTAAATTCTAATTTTCATATATATATTTCAGAGTACGAATCAATGACATAGGATTACAGGTGTGCACCACTGCACCAGACCTATGTAAAAAAAATACACACACACAYWWTATATATATATATATATATATATATATATATAYACACACACACATTCATAAGAAATGTTCCTTTTTATTTATGTTTTCATAAATAAAACAAATAATGTTTTATGTTATTTATAAAATTATGTTTTCAGTGTCAGGATCTGGAAGCTAACACAAACAAGCAAACAAAATTGTCAAAGCAGTACTTAAAAATCTTATCTTGCCACAAAATATGGGATAGGGAAATATAAGAGAACAGGCATAAAACAATTAAGGATCAATACAAAGAAGTATAAAATCCAATACTTACTTATGTATTGGATAATAAAATTGTTCTGTGTAATATTTTTAAAAAACCATTCTGGTTAACCCAGAGAAACTAGGTGGTAAGATATAGATGTGAGCAGATTCCAGCAGTCACCAAGGATGATGGTTGTAGCTTGGACTAGAAGTTTGTCAATAGGAACAGAGACAGATGGATGGGTCCAAGATGCATTTTGGAGATAAAATCATGGAAATCTGATGGTGATTTTGATAAATACTGTGGGGACAAGTAGGGTAAAATCTTGTCCTGGCTTGCTGAAAATTTTCCCATTTTGACATTGGTAGTTTCCAATGACTCAGGTAAACCCGAACAATTGGTGACAGGGAAGCATCAATGTAAGTCTTGCTTCCATCTTGAGTGGTGAGGCAAATGAAAGTAGTAGTTATTGAAAATGGGAAAATTTGGGGAAAAGCAGGTAATGTGGGAATGATGATTTAACTTTTGAATGTTAAGATTAGTCATAAACCTATGCAGGCCAAATGTCTAAAGTAGGATTTTTTTCAGAGAAAGATTTTTAAAAATACTATAGAAAATATCAGATTTATATCCATATGGAGAACTCATTCTTCATTAGAGATTTTAACTACAATTGGTAAATATTCTGGAATCTATCTTTCTTTGAGTAAATCTAATTAATAGGAAATCATTTACTGATTTGTTGGCTTATGTTCCATTTCCAATGACTACCTATTCTTTACATTGTCCATTTATTTAAATGTCAAAAATTTAAGTTGTACATATTTACCAAAAAGAATAGGGAAGCTTTTAAGAAAGCCTCCAATTTTTTTTCAGGGATTGGGGGAACAGGGATTAAACCCAGGTTTCAATAACCAGGAATATTAAATATTAACCAGGGTTATTAAGTACCAGGATTGCTTAACCACTGAGCCAAATCCCCAGCCCTTTTTTATTTTGAAACAAGGTCTTGCTAAGATGCTGAGGCAGGCCTTGAACTTGTGATCTTCCTACCTCAGCCACTCAAGTTGCTGAGATGTGTATGCCAGAACACTTGGCTAGAAAAACCTCCAATTTTACAAAAATGTTGACAGCCCTCCACATCCATTTAAATCAGGTGTCAGGAGTGAATCTTTCACAATAGAGAATATTAGCCAATGCTCCAAAATTATGTTTGTTTGAAGGAATCGGATATCATGTCCAGTGTACCCTCTTCTAGAGAATTACTTTTTCCTGGAGGTACAGAGAAGAAAGTCAAGGAGCATAACAAATGAATTGTAGGGAATTTCAACAGCAGTGGCATATTAATGCCACTTTGCCCCTGCTGGGATACACACTGAGTTTCTTATACTCCCCATCTATGGTGTTAGATCCCAGGAAAGTTGCCCAAATCCTTGCTTTTGCTGAATACCCTCTGATTCTTTCTCTTTTTTGTACTTTTAGTTATGCATGACAGTAGAATGTATTTTGACAGAATATACATACCAAGAGTATAACTTATTCCGTTTAGGTTCCCATTCTTGTGGTCATACATTATGTGGAGCTACCCTGGTCACAAATACAAATACAAGGCTAGGAAAGTTATGACCAATTAATTATACTGACTCTCTTATTCTCCTCTCTGATTCTTTCTAAAGGTAAACAAACTATTAGTAGAGAAATTTGTGATTTAATAAATATTTAGTGTGGGCTCAGGCAGCCAGTGGGGATGTTAGGAAAGATGGTGACCAGGTGGATGTTCCAACATTTCCCTGTGTTAAGATCTGGTTCTTGTTCAGGAATTGTCACTTGTGCTTATCTGTCATAGTGTTTCATGTTTCCCCTTCTTTTTCTGTTTTTTTTTCTTTTCTTTCTTTCTTTCTTTTTTTGTTCTTGTACCTAACTCTTTGATCCATTTTGAGTTACCTTTTGTATAGGATGTGAGACAGGAGTCTAGTCTCCTCCTCCTCCTTCTTCTTCTTTTTGGTATCAGGGATTGAATTCAGGGGCCATTGACCACTGAGCCACATCCCCAGCCCTATTTTGTATTTTATTTAGAGACAGGGTTTCACTGAGTTGTTTAGTGCCTTGATTTTGTGGAGGCTGGCTTTGAATTCATAATCCTCCTGCCTGGGCTCCTGAGCCATGAGATTACAGGCATGCACAACCTTGCCTGGCTCATTCTTTTTTCTACACATGGATAACCAGTTTTTCCAGCATAATTTGTTCAAGAAGCTGTCTTTTCTCCAATGTATGTTCTTGGCAGTTTTGCCAAGAATCAGGTGACTGAACGGACTGGCAGCCATCAAGAATACAAACAGTAATAAATGCTAGAGAGGATGTGAATAAAATAAAATATTTTTACCTTATTGGTGGCATTGTAAATAAGTACAACCTCAAGAGACTTAGGATTGGAACCACCGTATGATCTAGTTATGTCACTCCTTGGTATTTATCCTAGAGAATGAAAGTTATAGCAATATGTGCATAATAATGCACAAATATAGCAGAATATTTCACAATACCAAAGTGTGGAACCAGACTAGGTGTCCATCAACAGATAACTGTGTAAAGAAAATATGGTATATAAACACAAGAGTTTTATTCAACTATTAAGAAAATGAAATTATGTCACTTGCAGAAAAATGGATGAAAATAAAGAAAGAAAGAAGAAAAATAAATTTTTACACAAAAAGATCTGGGAATTATCATTTCCACTGAGCTAAGAATCCCTCATAAAAAGAAAATCAGGTTAAACTTTGTCCTATTCATTTCCGTTAGTGTTTGGAGAAAATTCCCAGAGAAAATGTCTGCTTATCAATGAATTGTGGAACAAAAGAGAGAAGCAGAAAAAGTACTATCCTTCTGTCAGGAGCTGCCACATAATAGCTGAGTGCCCACTAGCTTTGAGTGATGGAAATGTAGAGACTGGCTTTCCTCACCAGAAAGCACCCCATCTCTGCTCAGCAGAGGAGCACAGCTTTGAGAGTGGGCTTTACCCAATGGGAGTGGGCTGCCCCTTGTAACATTATCCCTCTGCCTTATATGGATGAAATGTTCTTTTGAACAGCCTCCCCCAATAAAATCAGGGTTCAAGGCATGCTCCTCTCTCTTTCTTGCCTGCCTTGCCTGCTTTGTGGAAGCTGGGCCAGAGGAGTCATCACAGAACCCAAAGAAAAAGGTATTGTCTCTGTTTTTGTGTGATTATTTTCTGCCAGCCCAGTTCACCTGGAGTGACACTGACTGGTCACTTTGTTTTTTGGTATTGACTAACTTCACTTAGCATCATCTTCTCTAACTCCATCCATTTACCTGCAAATGCCATGATTTTATTCTCTTTTATTGCTGAGTAATATTCCATTGTGTRTATATGCCACATTATTTTTATTCATTCATCTATTGAAGGACATCTAGATTGGTTCCCCAGTTTAGCTATTGTGGATTGTGCTGCTATAAACATTGATATGGCTGTGTCCCTTTATTATGCTGTTTTTAAGTCCTTTGGGTATAGTCCGAGAAGAGGGATAGCTGGGTCAAATGGTGGTTCCATCCCCAATTTTCCAAGAAATCTCCATACTACTATCCATATGGCTGTACCAATTTGCAGTCACATCAGCAGTGTATGAGTGTACCTTTTCCCCCACATCCTTGCCAACACTTATTGTTGTTTGTCTTCATAATATCTGCCATTCTGACTGGAGTGAGATGAAATCTTAGAGTAGTTTTGATTTGCATTTCTGTAATTGCTAGTGATGATGAACATTTTTTCATGTATTTGTTGATTGATTGTATATCATCTTCTGAGAAGTGTCTGTTCAGGTGCTTGGCCCATTTATTGATTGTATTTTTTTGTGCTTAGCTTTTTGAGTTCTTTATATACCCTAGAGATTAGTGCTCTATCTGATATGTGAGGGGTAAAGATTTACTTCCAAGATGTAGGCTCTTTATTCACTTCACAGATTGTTTCTTTTGCTAAAAAGAAACTTTTCAGTTTGATTCCACCCCATTTATTGATTCTTGATTTTAATTCTTGTGCCACAGGAGTGTTATTAAGGAAGTTGAGCCCTAATCCCACATGATGGAGATTAGGACCTACTTTTTCTTCTATTAGATGCAGGGTCTCTGGTTTTATTACTTAGTTTTTGATCCATTTTAAGATGAGTTTTGTGCATGGTGAGAGATAGGGGTTTAATTTCATTTTGTTGCATATGGATTTCCAATTTTCCCAGCACCATTTGTTGAAGAGGCTATCTTTTCTCCAGTGCATGTTTTTGGCACCTTTGTATAAGATAATTGTAATTTTGTGGGTTGGTCTCTGTGTCCTCTATTATGCACCATTGGTCTACCAGTCTGTTTTGGTGCCAATACAGTGCTGTTTTTGTTACTATTGCTCCATAGTATAGTTTAAGGTCTGGTAGAGTGATGCCACCTGCTTCACTCTTCCTGCTAAGGATTGCTTTTGCTATTCTGGGTCTCTTATTTTTTCAGATGAATTTCATGATTGCTTTTTTATTTCTATGAGGAATGTCATTGGAATTTTTTATTAAACCTGTTTTTGGAACTATGGTAATTTTTATAATATTAATTCTGCCTATCCAAGAGCAAGGTAGATCTTTCCATCTTCTAAAGTCTTCTTTGACTTCTTTCTTTGGAGTTCTGTAATTTTCATTATAAAGATCTTTCACCTCTTTTGTTAAGTTTATTCCAAAGTATTTTATTTTATTTTTTGAGGCTATTTTAAATGGGGTAGTTTTCCTCATTTCCCTTTCTGAGGATTTGTCACTGATATACAGAAATGCCTTTGATTTATGGGTGTTGATTTTATATCCTGCTACTTTGATAAATTCATTTACTAGTTCTAGAAGTTTTCTGGTGGAAATTTTAGGGTCTTCTAGGTATAGAATCATATCATCAGCAAATAGTGTCAATTTGAGTTCTTCTTTCCCTATGTGTATCCCTTTACTTTCTTTTGTCTTTCTAATTGCTAAGTAGAAGTGGTGAAAGAGGGCATCCCTGTCTTGTTCCAGTCTTTAGAGGAAATGCCTTCAAATTTTCTACATTTAGAATGATGTTGGCTTGGGGCTTAGCATAGATAGCTGTTATGATGTTGAGATATGTTCCTGTCATCCCTAGTTTTTTTTTTAGTGTTTTGAATATAAATAGGTGCTGTATTTTGTCAAATGCTTTTTCTGCATCTATTGAGATGATCATACGATTCTTATCTTTAAGTTTATTGATGTGACGAATTACATTTATTAATTTTTGTATGTTGAACCAACCTTGTCCCTGGAATGAATCCCACTTGATCWTGGTGCATGATCTTTTCGATATGTTTTTGTATTCAATTTGCCAGAATTTTATTGAGAATTTTTGCATCTATGTTCATTAGAGATATTGGTCTGAAGTTTTTTTCTTTGATGTGTCTTTGCCTGATTTTGGAATCAGAGTGATCTTGGCCTCATAGAATGAGTTTGGAAGTGCTGCCTCTTTTTCTATTTCCTGAAATAAATTGAAGAGTATTGGCACTAGTTCTTCTTTAAAGGTCTTGTAGAACTCAGCTGTGTATTCATCCGGTCCTGGGCTTTTCTTGGTTGGTAGACTTTTGATGGCATCTTCTATTTTGTCACTTGAAATTAATTTGTTTAAATTGTGTATATCATCCTGATTCAATTGGGGAAAATTATATGACTCTAGAAATTTGTCAAAGCCTTCAATATTTTCTATTTTGTTGGAGTACAAGTTTTCAAAATAATTTCTAATTATCTTTTGTATTTCTGTCATGTCTGTTGTGATATTTCCTTTTTCATTATGTATGTTAGTGATTTGAGTTTTCTCTCTCCTTCTCTTTATTAGCATGGATAAGGGTCTGTCAATTTTATTTATTTTTTCAAACAACCAACTTTTTGTTCTGTCAATTTTTTCAATTGTTTATTTTGTTTCAATTTCATTGATTTCAGCTCTGATTTGAATTATTTCCTGTCTTTTGCTGTTTTTTGGTGTTGATTTGTTCTTCTTTTTTCTAGGACTTTGAGATGTAATGTTAATTCATTTATTTGTTGACTTTTTTTTTTAAGGAATGAACTTCATGCAATGAACTTTCCTCTGATATGTTGTATCTGTGTTCTCATTCACCTCTAACAACTTTTTAACCTCCTCCTTGATGTCTTCTGTAACCCATTGTTCATTCAGTAGCATATTATTTAGTCTCCAGGTGTTGGAGTGGATTTTATTTCTTATTTTATTATTGATTTCTAATTTCATTCCATTATAATCTGATAGAATGCAGGTTAGTTTCTCTTCTTTTTTGTCTTTGCTAAGAGTTGCTTTGTGGCATAGTATATG